ATATATATATATATATAGGATTACATACAGGTATTTATAATGTCATTTTACAGACAACATCAGAACAACCGCTTCTAGTAAATTTAGAAGTTAAATCCAGCAGCCAGACAAGCTCATATACATACTGCACATATATAAACCATTATAGGCTCAAAAAATAACTTCCTTTTCAGGTTAAAATAGATACGTAAATAGTAATAGATAGACCATCCTAATACTGGTTATTTATCTAATTCAAGACGGATGAGGTAATTTTGTAATAACAGATAGACCATCCTGTGTCATTGTATATCAGCTCCATCTCAAATAATACAACATGGTAAAATGTAGGAAAAATTTTGTAAAGCAAGCAACTTCAACACCTCTATTATAACCTCACATTGATGGTAATTAATATCACTCTATCACCATCGAAAAATAAAATAAATAGAATTTATGTGTAAATAAGAAATTATGAATCTAAAATGCTACACCAACAACTTTGGGACCTACATTTGTAGACCAAATGATTGGACACATCTACACACCAATTAAATTTTCTCGGATTCCCTTATTTATTGGGTGTTAGTGTGTTCTTCAGTCAGCAAAATTGGTAAGACTCTCGTTTCAAATTGTATTGTATAAACACATGGGTTGGTAAATTCTTATTTCATGATTGATACCATGAACCTTATTCTTGTAATTCAGTTTATCAAACCAATACAAGTAGAGTAATTATGAGATCCAAATATCACTAATACTTTTAGATCCTAAAAATTTAACTTAATATTGTAAATTAATAATGCGCCAAGTATGATGTTGTTTATGGTTGCTATTACATTGATACTAATAGAGTCTTAATTAATAATTATTAGATTAATAAATTTAATTAATTTTTTAAATTTCAATAATATTTCTATATTGTATTTGCATTGGCATATTTATAATATAAAATATAATAAATATTAATTAATCTATTCAACGATCTCAAATAAATTAATTTAACAACTACTAACATTCCTTTTAGAACTATTTTGGTCGAGCACGGATTACTCCTAATTTTTACTAATAAGAAAGAGCATCACGATGTGTCCCCGTCCCCGTCCCCGTCCCGTGCCAACAAAACGTTCACGGTTGGCACCGACATTGTTGCTCCTATTGGCTACGTTGTCATGTCTGTACACGACGCTGAAAATGCTAAAAGCAGTGGTCCCATTAACAAACAATACACCACCCGCCCCTCTCCCTAGCTAAGAAAAATAAATAGGCACGTACAAAAACCGTGCACAGCCTGTCCTATCTTCTGTCTAATTCTCCCAATTTAGCATATCAAAACGAAACACAATTAAAGCCATGCAGACAATGTGGGGCCAGTTAGAAGGGATGCTGACCTGGATACGGACGTAATCACTGCTACGGCTATGACCAAAGGCCATAGCCACGGCGTGGTCTACCAGATCCGCCGAGCCATCAGCCGAAATACGACCCAGCGGCTTAGCCCAGTCCTTGGCTTTCCAGCTTTTGACTTGATCGTAGTCGAAGCTACACTCCAGAAGCTGACCGGAGCCAAGAGAAAGTACCAAAAGGTCCTCCACGCCACGCACGAACGGAAACTCCTGCTTGTTATGGAGCACGTGGGTAATAGCCGCTGCCGTGGGGTTGCTCATGGCTAAGCCGCCGTGGACGGCCACGCAACGAGTCTGACCGTCGACGGACTTCATGAAAACCGGTTCGAACAAAGCCGGATCGGCTGAGGTGGCTCGGCAAACCTCCCAGAGCCTGAAGTCGAAGCTGTCCGTTTCCAGAGCGTCGGCTCGAGAGAACAAAAACGGCGCCGTTGAAGAGAGATCATAGCACGGTATCAAAACCGGCTTCAACGTGTCTTTCAACGTCAAACTCCGGCCGTTTTCTGTAAACACCCCCTTCATTACTTTCTCTAAACCGGCTGTGGCTGAACTGGCGTCGCCACCACCTGCACCTCGAAAAATTCGCCGGAGAAAGCTTTTACCGCCAGAACTTGAACTAGATGACTTGTAGAATCGTTTTCCTTGTTCTGCCAACAGCTTCCAAGTGTCCTCCGCATGGAAAACTGGACGGTTGTGATTTTTGGTGGCAAATAGCATCGCCGTAAAAATGCCTCCCACCCCGGAACCAGCGGCGACGTCGAAATAATCAGCGATTCTGGCATCAGGATTTCCCGATTTTCGCTTCAACGCGTGTTCGAGGAAGGCTAGGACTTTACCTGGTAGAATGTTTCGCATTCCACCACCGTCGATGCTGAGTATGCAGATTTTGCCTCTCTGGTTCTTGATAGCTTGAACGCCATTATCGGTCGCCGTTTGTTGAAATACGACTTCTAAATTTGGTTGTTCGACGGTGGGAGAAATCTGTTTGGGAATCCAGAGTTTCCGATCGTCGTAGCCGAAGAGGAATTTGCTTTCGAGGATTGAGAAAATTTCATAGCTGAGCTTATCGGTGTCGATGCTGGGCTCTTGCATTTCCAAGAATTGATTACAATCAATTTCGTTTAGCAAAGACATCTCAAAACTCAAATAGAATCTTCAAAGCACTTATTGTAACCTTCTAGGATTTGAGGAAGGTATTAAACGCCAAGCCAATCCTCAGGATTAATTTCTGGATATAAATAAATAAATATATATATATATATAGCTCTGTATATATCTCTGTGTGGCTGACGACCTCTATATTCCTGAATTCGGCATCAAACGATTCACCTTGGAACTGCCGCCATTAAAATAACATTACCATTCACCACCTCCATTTCCCATTCCCTCCACCTGAAATCAAACCTCTCTCTCTCTCTCTATACGTGTATATATGTATTTATCTCTCTAAATACAATTCCGAGTCGGAGTGAAGGGCAATGGTTTTGCTTTCTCTGCAAAGCTGATGGTGAATCTACCTCTCTCTCTCTCTCTCTCTCTCTCTCTCTCTATATATATATATATATATATANCTCTCTCTCTCTCTCTCTCTCTCCTGTGTGGAGTTGAGCTGACTAGCAAATAGCAATGATTTTTTTCTCTCTATAAGTTTGATGGCCAATCCACCACTTTTTCTCTGTCTCTCTCTCTGTGTGAATATACAGAGCACGCCAAAGCTATATAGAGGAAGAGAGGGCAGGCAAAGTTGGGTACAACAACAAAAAGAGATTTAACTGAGACAAATGAAAACAGGAACAAAAGAAGACAAAAGACGTGAGAGGAGGGAAGGGCGTATCAGTTGCAGAGCATGTCTGTTAGCTTTAAACACATCCATCCACAACTACATAGACAAAAAATAGTATATTTTCAGACCCCCTCCATTCTCCTCTCCTCTCCTCTCCTCTCCTCTCCTGTCCTTCGATCCCTCTCTTTGTCTCTACTAATCTGCATACCGTATGTTGTTGTTTATGGCGCTAACCGTGGTTTGGGAGTCATTAACCGTGGTTAATAATTTTTACTTGCACAGATGGTTAGTCTTATCACAAAAATTGTTGATTCTTTGATTCACAAATTTAACTAATTTAAACTCTTACTTATTTATATACTTATCCATTATTTCTCTAATTTTTATTTAGAAAGTAACGGTTGATGTCTGATACATATAAAATTAGAATAATATTTATAAATTATAATTATTAATTTAAGACCTTGTAATCAACATATATGTAAGAATTAAATAGTTTGTCAGATAGTTGTATATTTAATTTAATTTTTTTATATATTTTTATATTGACTTTTTATGGGTAGATGTGTGTGTATATTTATAAAATATGATGCACTCAAATCGTTCTTACTTTCAATTTTTTTTTTTAAATTTTACTATCTTTGTACTTTCACTCCCGTTTTATATAATCGAGATGCAAAACCCTCGAATAGTTTAATTCAAATATTTCTTATCACACTTTCGTTCAATTTCACTCAATTATAAATTATTTATTGTATATGGCGACAGAGTCACTTATACTAGTAAGCTCCATTTAGATTTGTGGTAGACGAATTACTAAGTGAAAATATAATAAATAAGATATCAATGTGATTAGTTTGATATTAATTAAATTTAAATTTGAATTTGAATTTACTACATACTTTTATAATTGAATTTAAATTTATTAATATATGGTACTATTATAATTGGGTTCAAAATATTTCATGGAGTAATTTAATGATTATTAGATAAAATTGAGGTGTAGTTTATTAAAATTAATCTTATCTAAGTTTTTTGGTTCACATTAAATATCATAATTTTTAATAAAATTTAATATGAATTATAAAAATAAAATTCATCCAAGATCATATTTAAAATGAATTTTTTAAATTAAATTTGAGTTTAAACAGTATATAGTATAATACTTTACACACCACCTCGCTTATACCACTTGATGTAACACGATCATAACTATTGAATATTTGATAAACTTTATAAGACTTTTTAATTTAATGGTATATGTCTGAGTTAATACACAATTGTAACGTAACGGTTGTTCAGGAAGGTAATGTGTGTAATAAAAGCGTAGATAGGATAAAGAATAATGCTTATTCAAAATCTAATCCGTTAACGGCCTTAAGGACCGTTCTGATGTCAACTCCGTTGAGGAATTAAATTACCGGATGAGATTGAACAGTGGTGGGTGAAGAGCGAGGCTGTGAGTTTTGTGTCCGTGATCAACGGTCTAATTAGTACTTACTCTGTCTATCTCTCGCGCGGTTGTCGCTTAACGTGTGGGGCCATCAGGCAGCATAGTCAGCAAAAGAATGGAGACGCACTAATTATCCTGATTTGCCTTGTTCTTTTTTTACCACTATAATTTAATTTATAATTTTTTGCTATATGACTGGACTGACTTTGAGTGGGGCCCTTGGAGGTGGGGTCTACACAAATAGATGAGCTGACGAAAGTCCCCTCAATTTGAATCAAGAAAATTATTTTTCTTAATGTAAATTTGGATTAAAAGTTAGAGAGAGTTTTTTGATTTTTTTAGTTTAATTTAAATTTGAGATCACTTTTAAGTAAGGAGCCGAGCCGGGACGGGCTAATGTTACATTTGACTTATACATCTTTAACTAACTTTTAATTTTTATGAATCTTTCTTCACTAGGTTACGTGGCTCATGTGATGTGTCTGCAAATTGATGTATATTTAACCAGCAAAAAAAAAAATTTGATGTATATTTAATGCATTTTAATCAAAAGTGTTGGTAATGGGGGAGAAAAATGATTAAGAAAGTATTGGTCATAAATGAAAGATACAACGTTAAAGCGATCATTGAGTATTGGGAAGTTTTGGATGAGAAGTTATGTATGAAAACTCAATGAATTTGTATTTTGGGTTAATTATAGCGGAGGTCCTTAGAGTATAAAGTTTATTTTATTTTGGTTCTTAACATTTTAATTGTNAAAACTCAATGAATTTGTATTTTGGGTTAATTATAGCGGAGGTCCTTAGAGTATAAAGTTTATTTTATTTTGGTTCTTAACATTTTAATTGTATTATTTTGGTCCTTAAAATCGAATATGTTTCCATGAGATCCCTTAAACAGATAACATTTAAATTACTAACGATTTTTTATCATAAATTTGTCATTTGATTTTTAAATATGGGCAAAAAATAATTTGAGTAATACTTGACCAAAATTTGAGTAACGCTTGACCAAAAATATGTAATGTGGGTTATTCTTGACTAAAATTTAGATAACTCAAAATTAAAATTGTGTAATGTAAGGGGTAGAATCCTCTACTAAGAATTTCGGCTTGACCTGGGTTAACCCACACGGGCGACCTCCCAGTAGCTTTTATCTCTCAGTGTCTGCAGGAGTTTCGTCCCACATCGACTGAGAGTCGTCTCCTCCTCTCGCATATAAACCCTTGCACTCAAAGGAGGAGGTACCCACAAGCGACCTGATCAAGTGCCTAGTGGGTACCTCCTCCTTTGAGTGCAAGGGCTTATATGCGAGGGAAGGAAACGACTCTCAGTCGATGTGGGATGAAACTCCTGCGGGCATTGAGAGGTAAAGGCTACTGGGGGGTCACCCGTGTAGGTTAACCCAGGTCAAACCGAAATCCTTAGTAGAGGGTTCTACCCCTTACATGTAATTTGGATAGCTCTTTAACCAAAATTTGGTCAATTTTATTGTCGATATTTAGATATTACGAGATAATTTTATAATAAAAATCGTTAGTAATCTGGATGTTGTCTGCTTAAGGGATCACATATAAATATATTCAATACTTTAAGGACTAAAATAATTCAATTAAAATATTGAGAACTAAAATGAGACAAATTTTATACTTTGGGGATCTTCAATGTAATTAACCCTTATATTTTTATATTATTTTTAAAAATACTGATGCATTAGATTATTGTTAATCAATACCATTAATACACCAATAACGAAGAGATGCCAGGAAAAAAAAAGTGATAGGACACCAAACCCTCCCTGTCTTTTTATTAATAATATAGATTTTGAGTAATGAGAAGGATCTGCCTTCAAATCAAATAGTCAACAAACCCTATCGTTGTGAGTCTTTGTCATTCCTTGAAAAGCCAACAATCTTTGGTGAAACATTAAACTGGATAGAAAAAGGTAAATGGGGATTCTTTAGCATATTGGATCATTCTAAGAGAACTCTGCTTATTTATATGTCATCCAATGCACTATGTATAACAATATCAATTGAATTGCTAATTAGTGTTTGTCTTACTAAGAACTTCCTTCATTTTGTTATTTCAAATGATACCTACAAGGCTCTCCATTTTATGGATGCATCTTGTCGTGCGTTTTCCAAAAAAAAATACTCTACGTAGTGCACAAGGTTTTGCCTTTATAGGATTCATGGAGAGTCAGATGTATCGCCCCGACATGTTGAAAATTTATTACTACTACTTGACATATTGAGTATAATATAGCAATCTTATTGATACATAAAACTAGGTTAAAAAAAAAACACTAAACTTAAGTCTAAGTTGATGTCATATGAGTAAACAAAGAAAATTCATTTCAAATTTCACAATTCCCCCCTCTCCTCTCCCCCCTTTTTTGTGGGGAGTGGAATTTTTCCATAAGAGACTAACCTAAAAAAAGTTATATCCACTATCATATATTCAAAGTTTCCATTTGTAACGTACTTTGCGAGAGAAAAATATATATAACCTACACCCATTTTGGAGAGATTAATTCTTGAATTCAATTCTGCAAATTATCTTTTAGAAGGATAATCACTTGTCATCGCTCTATGTCCGTCAATCAAAAGTTTTAATCTAACACTCTTAATTGAGTTTTCTAATCTTCTCAACCTCTGTTTTGAGTAATATTATATATTTTGCTTCATTGCTTCCTATAAATCCTAATTCACCAACCCCTAAATTGATAGGTTTCCTTTTAATTTCCTTTAATAGATGGCCAAGCCAAACGATTTTTAATTTTACTGGTGAGATGGATGTACCAATTTAGTTACAAGGATTTGTGAAGAAAGTTTTGAAAAATACTAAATATTAATATAAAGTTGGATAGGTATAAGTATAACAGTATAGTTAGGTG